AGAATTTGGCGTAAACAGAATGAGAACATGGATCCATCATGCCTTGTTACCACTGTGCAGGCTGGTGGTGGTGGTGTAATGGTGTGGGGGATGTTTTCTTGGCACACTTTAGGCCCCTTAGTGCCAATTGGGCATCGTTTAAATGCCACGGCCTACCTGAGCATTGTTTCTGACCATGTCCATCCCTTTATGGCCACCATGTACCCATCCTCTGATGGCTACTTCCAGCAGGATAATGCACCATGTCACAAAGCTCGAATCATTTCAAATTGGTTTCTTGAACATGACAATGAGTTCACTGTACTAAAATGGCCCCCACAGTCACCAGATCTCAACCCAATAGAGCATCTTTGGGATGTGGTGGAACGGGAGCTTCGTGGCCTGGATGTGCATCCCACAAATCTCCATCAACTGCAAGATGCTATCCTATCAATATGGGCCAACATTTCTAGGAATGCTTTCAGCACCTTGTTGAATCAATGCCACGTAGAATTAAGGCAGTTTTGAAGGCGAAAGGGGGTCAAACAGTATTAGTATGGTGTTCCTAATAATCCTTTAGGTGAGTGTATATCAAAGGGATAGACTCATGACGAGAAAGACGTGTTCGCTAAGTAGTGGTTAAAGTTGAATTCAAGAAAATAAATATTTCCTTTTGTGTTGGACAAACATTAATTTAAGTTGGGAGGAAATGTTATGTATTTAGTGTCAATAACTGAGTTATCTTACATTGAACAGTAAAACAGTAAAATAAGTCAGTTCTAAGGGTACTCTGTGTTCGTTGTGTTATTTATATTATCTCTGAATATTATGATATTCTGAGAGTCACATCACATACTAAACGCATGCCAGAACTCCAAGATGTATACCACTGACCAAAAAGCACAAGAAAAGTCTGCTCCCATTTGCTCAAAATCATATAAATAAGCCAAAGAAGTTTTGGGATTCTGTTCTGTGGAGCGGTAAAACAAAACTGGAACTTTTCGGCTCTGGATCAGCGGTATGTCTGGAGGAAGAAGAATGAAGCATATGCTGAAAAGAAGATTTTGCCTACAGTTAAGCATGGTGCTGCTCGGTGTTGCTCTGGGGCTGCTTTGCATCCTCTGGCCTTGGAAACCTGCAGCGTGTGGAAGGCAAGATGCATTCATTGAAGTATTAGGAAATCCTAGGAGATAAACATCATGCCTTCAGTGAGGAAGCTGAAGCTTGGGCGTCACTGGACCTTCGAACAGGACAATGATTCCAAGCATACCTCAAATTCCACCAAGACTTGGTTGCAGAAGAAGTCCTGGAAGATTCTACAGTGGCCATCACAGTCACCTGACTTGAACCCCATAGAAAATCTCTGGTGGGATTTGAAGAAGGCGGTTGCAGCACGCAAATCCAAGAATATTACTGAACTGGAGGCCATTGCTCATGATTAATCGGCTAAGATTCCTCAGAAACGCTGCCAGAAGCTGGTGTCTGGTTATGCGTCTAGTTTGCAGCAGGTCATGACAGCAAAAGTACTAAAGTTGCTTGCCATGAAGGGGTTGAATAATTTTGAGACTGCAGAAATCATTAAAAGTAGCATTTTCTGTTGAATTTGGGGAAACCACTTGAAACATTTGTCGTGTTGAGCTATTTCAATTACTTTTGTTTGATTTATTCATTGCAAACAGCTGAAAGTCTGTACATTTTGCCAATAAACCTGATTTGCAATGGGGGTTGTAATGCCAATCAGTGAATTTTATGTAGCTAAATTAGTGTAATATCTTCAGGAGAAGATGCACAGTTATTTGTTCGCGTTGTTTATACTTTTGGCTGGCTCTGCAACGCGAGCCTTCACTGACTTCGCGGACATTTTTCCAAACAGACGAGGTGTTTATACTTGACACACGCTCACCATTTGTATTATTCTTTGAAATGACAGGTGGTGACTGAGTAATTGTTCTCTAAACCATCTGAAAAGTAAGGTACACACGTGACGATGTTTGTTTTTATTACACTTCACCAAACCCATGCAACAAAACAACCAAACAATCATGTAAAACCTAGTAAACCTTGAGATTATTAATTGTGACATTGTGACAAGTTAAACGTTATTTAATTTCATAAACATTTTTATTAAACATAGATCTTTATTTTCCTTAAAAGGGCTTATTTGTGCAAGTGTAGGCTCATTTTGTCAAGCAATTAATTTAGAACAACCACAAACTGGGTGCCGGTAAGATGCCAGTAACAGATGTACCTGCTCGGCCAGAATCGCTTCAAGTCATGCATCTTCGGAAGCGGAGCCGCGCACAAAGTTACAAAAAATGCCATGCAAACCGCCATGCAAAATGGGGTCCCTCAAAGCGCACGACCGCCAACACCGATATGAAGTCATTTTTGCCGTGGGCACCTTTGCACTTGTGCGGACTTGGCGAGTATAAACCAAGTATAATTCTATTGTTTTGATTGTTGACAGCGAGCTGCTGTGTTCAACTTGCTTTTCGAAGGACTGTAGTTCATCCATGTGTCCAACCCTAAATTTTATGTGTGTGTCAGTTTAGACACACTGGGGCGACATTGTAAGTCAGTGTGAAGTGACACACCCTTGTGACTGACCTTTGACCTTTGATTATTTTTGCACCAGTGTTCCCAGCCCTGGACCTTGGATTTCTTTGTTATTTTTTGTGGGGAATCATCAAAGACCAGGTGCATGCAGCAGAAACAGTCTCACCCTGTAGTCTCGTTCCATTTCTGTTGCTCTCTCTCTCCCTCTCTCTCACACCCCGTCTCTCTCTCTCTTTCTCACCCTATTTCTCTCTCTCCTCTGTCCTGCACTGAGCCCTGGGGCTTCTACCCTCTTTTAAACAAACTCGACATTCCTCCGGGGGCTACCAGTGATTTCTTGGGTGAACAGTGAAAGAAAGGATTTGGATGATGGAGAAAGGCAAAGAAGGAACTTGTGGTCGTTTGCTAAAACACACACTTTGAACATGCACATGAGATCCTTAGGGTCTCTTCTTTAAACTCATTTGTTCTCGCTCACACACTATGGAAAGTGCACACACCACCCAGTGTGCAAATACACCTGAAGACACAGACCATAATAGCCTGTCTGCCCCGGCCCTCCCCACAGTGTGTGTTCAGTGGCGCTGGGGGTCAGGTGACCCTTTCTTCTTCAAGCCGAGGCGTCATTTCCTGTGTTCCTTGTTGCTATAGCACCAATGTGCAAGGTTAAGCACACTTGCACTTCTCTGTACACACACTCTCTCTGTCTTTTGGTAGGGAGTTTATGTATTTTCTTTACCTCTAGAAATTTAGCTATATTTGCAGTAAATATTTGCAGATAGCTTATGTGTAAATTTACTATACAAGGTTTTTTATTTATTGTGTGCATGCATTAACTGTCTATTTGAAAAGCTTGCAACATAGCAGGATGTTTGTCAGCCAAAAGTCAGTAGTTGTTCGATGAACGCCACGTCAAAATACCCATTCTTCATACCTAGAAACTTAAGTGAAACTTGAATAACTGGTTGTTGCTCACATAGGCTACTGTATAATGTGACTGAAGGGACAATGCACATACAGGTGTCCAAACAATGTAACAGGAGTCTGTTTTTATGTCCTTTTAGGGATGTCCTCGAGCTGATTCATAAATGAATAAACCTTTTTTTTTCACAAGCCAATACATTTTATTTTTATATGGTTTAGGGTTAGTAGATCTGCATGATTTTGGACAAATTGAGAATCACAATTTTAGAGATCTTGATTCTCCTATGATTCTGAATAGACAACAGAATAAACAGAATAACGTAATATACTAGAGGTTCTGACAATGTTATTGCTGCAGTGTGTAGTCTATTTAAAAAATATTTAATTAATTTGAATTATTGTTTTTTTAATCGGTTTGAATGAATGATTCAATGACTCACTCATAAAGATCTCACTAGTTTCATTACTGGATGAATATATAAACTTTATCCCCGTACTTCTGTCATAATTTGAATGTTTGGAGTAACATAGAAACAATGATACTGTATGGTTAAAAATACTTTTTGTGAAGCTGTTTCATACCCATACATGACAACTGCTCTCTCTCTGGCTCAGTGGCAGAACTAACGCAGAGTTTAATGTTCCACTGTGATCTTATTTGACAAAGGTTTAATGGTCACAGGTGAATCGTTGTTATTTAGGAAGATCACTTGGGTGTTTGCATCGAGATCGCAATATTTTAGCGATTAATCGTGCAGCTTTAGTTTATAGTTATTATTAATAGCTTTAGTTCAATAGTTCATAGTATGTGCTAATTTAAAATAGTAAACTATGTTTGTGTGTTTGTTCAGCCATAATTTGGGAACGAGATTGCCCTCAGAATTTGGCAGAAACCTCTGCAATAATAAAAAATAAATAAATAATATATATAATATATAATATATATAAATTATATATATATAATTTTTAAACTGCATAAAGTTTTCTTTTAAAACTGTTATTAGGGTTAGTCTGTTAATGTCCTTATTTTAAGTGTGTGCAAGACATCTTGCTAAAAAAACCCCAGCAGGACAGTTTATGGGGAATCAGCACCAGGAAATCAGTATGCTTTGTTATGCATGACATTTGATAATGAATAAGGAACAGAAAAAGGAAAATCTAATGACATGACTACTTTGCATTTTGGGAAACTCTGAAAGCAGCATTGCATTTTATAAATGGATCAGCATAGTCGCTGGAAACCCAGTTTAAACTCTGCGATTGCCTATAGAATTCATATTTTTGATTTAATCTAATTTGGGGTCAAAAAGAAAGTGTGTGTAAGGGAGAGAGTGAGTGACGGTGTGTAAGTTAATGCTTTTTCCTTGTTAAAGATTTATGTGAACATGGAATCAGTTTCAGTCTATCTGGAGAAATCTCAAACCATCAATGGCAAACTAATGTCACTGTCATGGATCAAACACACGCACACACACCTGGTCAGTCAGGTTTAATTAATTAATTGTCTACTTGACTAAATATTTACTCTATTTCTCTTTCAGACGTAACCGTCCGCAGCGTCACTGGGCCAAAAGCTGCTGCTCGACGAGCGGTAAAAACTCAGTTACACTCCATCATGTTGCATGTTTCATTCATTTAGAGTCCAGTTATAATCTTGGAAATTATTATTTTCCATTTATAATTGATTATTAAATTCAGGTCAATGATTATTTTTGTTTTGTGCCAGTTAAATATTATAAGTCACACAAAAAAGATAAAAAATCATGGCTGATATTTCTTCTGGTTTATTTGTGAAATGGCAGATAACATGAAATAAACATAAGTTGAGTACATTGCATTGTGGGATGCAATATTTGTGTTTCACAGGCTCAAGAAGATCACATCTCTGATGATAATCATGAGAAAGACATCTGGATACCAAAAAACACTCAACAGACATGGAGGATGGAGGTAAAGATACGGCCACAATGACAGAAATACACAGGGAAGGTGTTTACCATGGTGTCCAAAAATATGGTTTAACGGTGTTGCATGTCCAAAAACATGGTATTGCCATGGTATATATTCAAAAAAACATAGTATTACCTTGGTGTGTACCCATAAAGCCTTAATACTACGATATTTTTGGTACTTTGTAAGTGTAATAGTTTGTAATATTTCTCTTACTCAGAGCTCTGTATGCATATGTGTTTATGTGCATATGCTGTAAGGATGATGGTATTAAACCACTAGAACATTTGCCTTTACGTTGGCCATGGCTCTTTCTGTGTGTCTTTGGCAAGACTTTTGCTGTCTTGTTAAATTTAGCATGACTCTGTGTGTCTCTGGTGTCACTGCACTATTTTAAACATGACACATGAGCTGTACATTTTTTATTCATTCTGTATGTTAGTTGGGGATTTAAAATAATATTTGTGCTTCATAGTAATTTAAGCTTTAACAGGAGAACTGAGCAGCTTGTATTTTTGTAGAGTAGTTCACCCAGAAAATAAAAAAAATTGTCAAGTGGTTCCAAACCTGTATGAGTTTCTCTCTTCTGTTGTACTTAAAAGAAGATATTTTGAAGAATGTCGGTAACCAGACAGTTGACGGTAGTCATTGACTTCCATAGTAGGAAAAAAATACTATGGAAGTCAATGGCCACCATTAACTGTCTGGTTTACAGAAGAACGAAACTAATACAGATTTGGAACAACTTGAGGGTGAGTAAATTATGACAGAATTTTCATTTTTGTGTGAACTCTCAATGTGTATTATTTGAGCTATAAAGATGAATGAATGTAAATTGTACAGACAGTCACTTATCATATCATATTGTTCAACTTTATTAGTTCATATAAGTTTGCACAGAGAGTTTTTATCACAACTGTGACCGATCTCATGCTGATACGTATGATGTTTAGGTCTTGTAGCTCTACTTTTGAAACAGTATTTTAATGTTTATTACAGTGCAGTGTCTTGCCCCATAGACTTCCATTAATCATAAACATGTTTCCCCCCTTGTTTTTTCAGTCTGATGGATCAAATTATCCAAAGAATTATTTTAATTGTATAGACTATTGTAAAGTAAAAATCTGTTCATTTAATATATGAGTGTGTTTGTATGTGTGTTTGCTGCAGTATAAAGGACAGGCTAATCTTCACATCTTTGAGGACTGGTGTGGCTCATCTATAGCTCAACTACGGAAGAATCTACATTATCCACTATATCCTCATGTAGGTTATATAGCTGTCAAATATACACTTTTTGAAAGAAATTAATACATTTCAACAAGGATGAATTAAATTGTTCATAAGTGACAGTAAAGACTAGTTTCATATAAACACTGTTCTTTTAAACTCTATTCATCAAAGAATCCTGAAAAAAAGAAAATCACACCACCAAAATATTAATCTGCACAACACTGCAATGAGTCTCATTCCATAATAATTGCGTTCATTATTCGTATTCATATGCACAGGAGACCTTCTCATGAAAAATCTCCGCCTAATTTACACATGTGTACGCACATGGAATTTTTCTTAACCTCGTTCGAACATTGATAAATTTGGAGTATTCTAAATGAGCGACCATGTGCCCAAGGTTAGTAATAGAGTGGGGCAGATATGACATCCCTTTGTAGGCCAAAACGTGGAAGCGAGTTAGCATTTTAGCACTTACGGTTCCATCGCCCCGAAGTCAATGGTTTTTTTTAATGGGATTTTGGTTAAATGGCTGATATAAGGTCTGTGGTGAACACAAGCTCAAGACACTTTCACGTTTTATTCTACGACATAAAATACAACAATATTACCCCACTCGTGATTTTTTTGATGCTGTTACTTGTCTTGAAAAAGGCGGTTGCTATCAAGTGGCTAAATGGGAAACCAAAACAGCGGCAGTCGGGGACAGTAAATGTCATCACGCCGAACAGATAAACTAGACCGCTTTTACAGCTTCTTTATGCTTATAATCGAGCTCTGCTCTTATAAACTATTCTAACTCAAATGTTCTGGGAAAATGATTTTAGATAAAAGCTGAAAGAGTTGTCGGAAGCTAGTGATGGTGACGTTAAATTTGTGGGGCCGTGGTGTAGTTTGTTTATAGCCTACCTTTAGCTTTACTTCTGGCGACTGCAAAATTCACAAAAGTTGTGTTCATCTGTGATAATTATACTGATGGACAAAATGTGCAAGTATCATAAACTTTTGTTGATCACAGAACTTGATTTTAGCGTTAATTAAAAAGCCTATGGGAAAATCCAATTGGGTTTTTGTCGAGGGAGCCGGTGTGATGCTGACTGCCGGTTGGCCTACAAAGTGACGTCATTCCTGCACCACTCTATTGCATAAAACACTCCAAAACCTTCTCCATACAAGGGCTTTCCTTTCGCTGCTCTCAGCAAACATGACACTCTAGGATGCGTTCTCGTCTGAGAGCACACGCAGCATTCAAAGAAATTTGTATTAAACTCATTTATAAATATTACCCTTTTAATTATTATCTTGTGAGCAGATTTTATTGTGATATTGATATATTTTCGTGCATTTTATGGTTTACATTGTGGCAATCACGCCACCGGCCTCGCGCCGTTCTCCCACGACCCTCGGCCTCGTTCTGCTCGCCACATACATGTTGAAAAAGTTTTCCTTATTCAGTTTGTTTTTGGTCAGATTTCTGTTATTTTATTAAGGCTCACATCATACACAGTTTTCAACTGTGCTTTACAAATGTTTTATATAGGATAATATAAATATATATAATATAGGATAATAAGCCTTTGTTTTTCATTTTAAAATCAGAAGTTCAACAATACCTAAACACAATGTTATGTTTAAAAAATAAGAAAGCTGTAAAATGTGTTTCCATTTGTAAACATTTTCATATTTTAATGCAACTTTTAATTTTGTTACTGGTTTTTATTTATGTATTTGTCCTTTTTTTTTTGTTTATTCAATGTACCCCACTGACTGTAGTTGTGATTCTTTAAAACCAATAAAATAAAAAACGACGCGCAGAAAGATCCTCTAATGATGCCAAGTGTGCCAACCTCCAAACAAGTTCGAACACAAAAAAACAACTTTAATACACACCTCTGATTAGACAGTTGTACATATGCGAATCTGCATCTTCACTTTAGAGGAAACTTGCATTTTATATATATATATATATATATGATGAAATATGTATTTCATCTTAAAATGTTTACAAGACCACCCAGATTATTTGATTTTTGCGTACGTGTGGTTTCAGTTCCTACAATTCTTTAGTAAATTTAGAATAAAATTTAGAACGAAAGTTGATGGGATGTACAGAATTTCTGATATAAGACTGCAATCTAATTTAAAAAATGGATTATAATAAATTTGATCATACATTTACACTAAATACTACTAGAATAGACCTAGGTTATATAAATGAATTGAAAACATTAATAAATAGCAGAATTTATCGAAATACTCAAGATCAAGCATGTTGGCATAACATTGTTATTTTATTATATGAATATTTTGAATTTTGTGCTTTTATTAGCTAAATAAAATATCATATTAGTTATAACTAATATATTAGTTATAGTTTTTACTAAAACTATTTGAATTTTAGTACTTCAACCTTTTCTGTTTTCTGTTTAGTTATTTCTAATTTTAAGTTTTCATCTAATACTTGTTTTATTTCAGCTAACAAAATTTGTTAGTTAACAATAACAACACTGTTAGCAACATACTTTTCTTGCAAAATTACATTTGTATGCATTGCAAATTGCATATGATAACACTGTTTTTTTTTTAAAATCTCTGTAGAATCGTTCAACTGTGAAGAAACTTGCTGTGTCGCCTAGTTGGACCAATTATGGACTCAGGATATTTGGCTACATACATCCTTATAGTGATGGTCTGTACGTCTCTCTCTGACTCGCACACATTCAGATTGTGTGCTATTGTCCCACTGTTAATTCTTCCCTGTGTTCGACAGGTGACTTTCTGTTTGCAGTGGCGTCTGATGATAACAGTGAGTTCTGGCTCAGCGACGATGAGAATCCCGTAAATCTCAAGCTCCGTGCTTATGTTGGAAAGGTGAGTATTGACTTTACAATTACTTTTGCGCAGGTGCGTGAAATGGATGGACTTAATTTTGTGTGGTTCCTCCATTTTTAGACAGGTAGAGAATGGACCGCCCCAGGGGAATATGGGAAATACGCCAGTCAGAAATCAGATCTTATTCCGTAAGTGAATGCGGTGTTTGTGTTTCATGATGCTTGAGGGAAATGCTCACACACCTCTCCATGTTATGACCACATACATACCTCAATGATGAAGAACTATTTTTAGACTCAGCGTGTGTAGATTCACAAGCTGCTGCTTGTGTCCTAATTCGGGTCATGGCACAAGGCGGGAAGTCATTAGAAGTGATCGTCTGTTAGTCGTGATTTGTAGTGAGTGTGAGTGTGAGAAACAAATGTTGGTCAAGGTTACATTTCAGTAACATACTTCAAATCAAACAAAAATGGGTCAATTAATTGTGCTTCCTGAACTCAAATCACACAAACAGTGCTGATCCAGCTAATCTGTATAAACATCCAACGGTAAACAAACATGCAATCGATCCAGTCTTCAGTGTCACATGACTCTTCAGAAATCATTCTAATATGCTGTTTTGATTCTCAAGAATTATTAAAGAACATTTCTTATTATTATCAATGTTGAAAACAGTTGTGAAACTGCTAAAAAACTAATTCAGGAGTCTTTTATGAATAGGAAGTTTAAAAGAACGGCATTTATTTGAAGTAGAAATATTTTTTTGTGTTACAGTCTTCAGAAGACCAGTAAATATTTCTTTGAGCTCATTCATAAACAGAACGATCAAGGAACGGACCATGTGGAGGTTGCGGTGAGTGTGTTTACTGAGGGTGTTGCTGTGATTGTTGTACACTGTTATGACACTGCCTGTATTTACTTACAGTGGCAGCTCAAACAGGCTGGACACGGATATTCAATCATCGATTCCAAGTTCATCTCCCTCTATATCAGTGAGTGTGTGTGTGTGTTATTTTGGGCTGTGGTTGTAGAAATGTCAGGGTAGTGTTAAGATGCCTGGAATAGCTGCTCCTGTCCACACACACGCCCTAAAATAGAGCTAATGATGGGGTAGCCTCCACTGCACAAAGTGCGTTTGTGTGTGTGTTGTCGTCTTATTGCTTCAGCTGCCCTTTGCGTTCATTTATATGTAAATGTATACAGTACTTATGTAGCTTTAGCCACTGTGTTTTTGGTGTACTTCAGATTGCTAGTTTGTCAATATCCGTCTGTCACTGCATCACTGTTTTTATTGTTAAGTAAAACTATTTAAAAAAATGTGTCGATTGAAATGAAGCTGAAATAAAATTTCATTTAGTGCTTAATTTAGTATACGCGGTTATATGAATATGCAAATTAGTCTCCGCCTCCACTCACTCACACCAGCTCAGAATACCCGATCCACTCGGTCAACTTTACTGTAGTAAACGCTGCACAATGGCAAGAGAAATACTGTTTACTGTTTACTGTTTTAAAAATTAAAAACTTGATTTTCACCACAGGGGGTCTTAAACAAAAAGACAAAAATGGATTGCAAACTTGCTAATACTAAAATGAAAACTAAAAATATGCAAATAAAAGCTAATTCAGGATATTAATAAATATTGTAATTGTATATAAATAATACAAGAATAACACTGCATCGCATGTGTGTATGTTTACGTTTTCTCTAAATATTGTAGGTATGTCAGATGATGATGCGGACCATGTTTAGAATGGAATGGAAGTGCATACTATTTTTTTAAAATACTGTATTATATTAATGGTATAATACGTTGTAAAAACAGTATGTTTTAAGTACCGGTAGTATATTATTTTTTATTATATCGATAAAAGTTTAAACACAAGTATATACCTGATTGTGTGTTTGTGTGTGCAGATGAGTCCACTCTGAAGGCAGGAGATGTCAATCACATTCCTCAGACCACTGCCAGTCATGTGACTCCGCCCCAGAGGTCATCTCAGACTCCGCCCCATGGAGCAGACATGCTGAGAGCAGATCCACGAGACTCGTTTCATCAGGGTGAGAAATTCAGACACAAACTCTCACTCACTTAATACAATTTTTATAGTCAAAATAAATATAATACACTAACAACGCAGACCTGATGAGCCATTAAACACTAAACTTAAAACATGAGAGTGAGTGAATATTAACAGAATTTTCAAATAAAGTGGACCTGGCAGATTTAAGAAAGTTCTATTACAGTATAATAAATAAATCATTGTCCTCTGCACTTTGTATTACGATTATGAAAATGATCCCATCACTTTATATTTGCTTCTTGTTTCTAGTTGTTTGCTTGTTCCTTAAATTTTGTGATGTATTGACTTCTTAAAGTTGCATGTGTACAAGGCAAACGAAAACATATAATATTCAGAACATGAATTCAGCGCCACCTTGTGGCAAAAGAGACATTTCCACAGTGTTTCTCAACCTTTTCGACTGGAGGGCCCTATTAATGGAAACTGAGAATCTTGATATATTCAATTTAATTAATTACAATCCATTTTGTGATTTCTGAAGTTTTAGGAACTGTATCCTCTTTAGTAGAAACAATAGTTATTGAGTTTGTTTATTTAGCATTTTCATTTAGATTTAGAGTTTAGAGATTATTAGAGCCTTGAATGTTTGCTCAATAAAGACAATAACATACATACAATAAAGTATGTAACTGTGTATGTTAACAATAATAATAATAGTGTTAATTCTTGTATTTCTTGTTTGTGTGTATTTGTATGTGTAGTTCCATTACTGGACAGGCTGCGTTTGCAGGGAGTTTTACCTGACTGCATCTATAACCCCAGTTACATCATAAAGGGATATCCTCTAATGCGCTACCAGGGCCTGCAGTTTGTAAGTGCTTGAACACACATAAATAAATAGAACATTAATAAAACAAAACAAATATTTCATAGCATTCCTTTTTAATGCAATGAATGTTGTGCCTATGTGAGCATGATCTTGATCAATCTAATCTGATGCAGGTCCACCTGACGTATGTGTATCCCAATGATTACACACGGCTCACACACATGGAGAGCGATAACAAATGTTTCTACCATAAAAATCCATACTACCTGGACAGGTAGACACACACAACTACACTACCGTTCATATGTTTATGCTCAACAAGGCTGCGTTTATTTGATCAGAAATATTGTAAAAATTAATATTGTGAAATATTATTACAATTTTAAGTATTTGAATATATTTCAAATGTAATTTATTTCAGTGATGGCAAAGCTGAATTTTCAGCATCATTACTCAAGTCTTCGGTGTCACATGATCCTTCAGAAATCATTCTAATCGCTGATCAATTATTTTAAATTAAATATTTTTTAACATGATTAAAAGTATTAATTAAAAAAAAACTCAAACATTTGAATGGCTGTGGACAGTCTGTACATGAGTGAAAACACACACACACACAGTCATGTAGTGTGTTAATCGATGATGTCATTGACCTGGTTCATCATCACATGCACCTTGTGTATAATGATCTCAAATCAAATCATTTCTTTTCAGATATGGCTTCTCAAACTACATTCAACTTGATCTGCCTGAAAACGAAGAGCTCATCAAATTCAAAGGTACAGCAAACACGTAGTGCTTTAGTTGTGTATTTACATTTAAAGACAACATTAAAACAACATTCTCAATGCATTTAACTTCCTTAATGCGACAAGAATATTTAGCAGGAAATGAGCAGGACTTAATTTTATGAAATTATGAAATCAAACATTTTTGTCTTATTAATAATAACATATCATGAATTGTGTGTAATAAGATCAGGTACATTTATTAAAATGGGGTCAGTTTTGTTGTCTTTAACTCTTGAGTTAAAATATGCAATCCGCATGATGGTTCAGAGCATTAAACACTCTAAAAGGAAGGTAAAAGTGTTTACTTATTCCCATTATTTCAAGACACCTCATGCTTGACTTTATCTTCCTGTAGGAGATAGAAATTATGAGAAGAAGCGGCAAGAGGAAGGTATGGAGAGGAACGAGGTTCTCCAAGATTATGGCGATTATTACGATTACTCAATGCAGATGCGCCGCCAACTGTTCTCCGTCCAAAAAAATGGCAGAATCAGAAAAAAGAGGCAAGACGGGAAAATTGATGTCGAATTTGAACAGATAGACCAAGACAACCAAGCTAAGGAAATCCCAAAACCACCTGAAGAACCACAGAACCTCCCAGAGGAACCACAGCACCAACCGAGAAGGAAGAAAAAGAGACGCCCTCAAAAACACCTGAAGGACCAACACTACCTCCAAAATGCACCTTCTGAAGTAAAGACCCAAGACCAGAGAAAAGAAAAAGACTCTGTGGTTGCACAACCGATTCAGGATTTCTTCATGGAGAAGATACCTGATCAGCAGAATCCAGGACCAGCTCAGAAAGAAGGCCGCTGGAGGTCAGAGGTGAAACATCAAATGGACCAATCGCTCCGTCAGGATGGTGGAATTGAGCTCCACCCACTTAAAGCCCAACACGGCAATAGTAGCGATGGAAATCCAAACCCTGTTGCCGTCAGAGACGGAGATATTCCCATGAAGAACATACGAGAAGTCGATGAGTTGAAGGAAAGGTCAGTGACCAACCCTGCCATTTTTGATGAGGTCCAGAATGAACATCATCACCTTGTAAATCGGATGGGTAATCGAAAAGTCTTTCTGGGAGAACATGTGGACAAAGCACACAAGAACTCATTAGATGTGGTAGAAGTAAAGAAGAAGAACGGTACAGATGAACGACCGTCTTTGGATGGGGATGAAGTCAAAGCAGAAGCAATGATGAGGCCCAAACACCCAAAACGTAAAGCAGAAAAAGCTGTGCATGTTCTGAAGGACAACCCTGAAAAGGTTGTAGTAGATGACAACAGTCAAAATGACAACAATATCATCAAGCATACAAAAGTGGCACATCATCTCCCAATCACCCAAAATCCACAGCAAAACACATCATATCAAAAGGGCAATGAGCACAAGACGTGGGTCCTCTCCGCTCCGCCCACAGAAGAGCAGAAGCACTGGGGTGGTGTAAATGATGCCAGAAGGGGAAATGAGATGCAGGATAGTGAGATACATATAGAAGAGATTGACGATGGACGAGGTGAAGAAGACGGTTTGGTGGATCATGGTTTCTCGGAGGAAGAAGACTATGACCTCATCAATAAGGCTGTGTTTGATGTGGAAGTCAATTGGTCTCAGACGTTCCAGGCTAAACCCCTAGATCTGTATGCCATGCGCTCCGATTGGATTGATCTGAAGTGTAATGTGTCTGGAAACCTGCTGCTCGACGAATCAGAAGCGCTGTCCGTAGTCGAAGCTTTTATGAAGAAACTAAACAAGAAATACCCAAGGTAGGCTGACTGTTACAATTATTTTTAATCAAATATCCGATCAATACAATATGCAAAAGGGTGTTTGGAATGGAATACTAGCATATTGCATACCACACATTTTATACAGTATACTGCCTGCCATTTTATTAAAAATATTATGTGAAACCTGCATCAACAGGGTCACATTTGTTTGTATGGGTTTGTTCAGAAAGTAACATGTTCCGTAAATACAGCAAATTATACACTACCGTTCAAAAGTTTGGGTGCAGTAAATTTTTTTTTTTTTTTTTTTAAACATTACTACTTTTATTCAGCAAGGACACATTCAATTGGTCAAAAGTGACAGTAAATACATTTATAATGTTACTAAAGAGTTCCATTATAAACGCTGTTCTTTCGAACTTTCTATTCATCAAAGAATCCCAAAAATTAAATGTGTAACAGTTTCCACAAAAATTTGAAGCAGCACAACTGATTTCAACATTACTAATAATAAGAACTGTTTTTGAGCACCATATTAGAATGATTTCTGAAGGATCATGTGAAACTGAAGGCTGAAAATTCCGCCTTGCATCACAGGAATAAATGACATCTTATAATATATTTAAATAGTAAGCAGTTGATTTAAAATGTAATAAAATTTCTCAATATTTCTGTTTTTACTGTATCAAATAAATGCAGCCTTGGTGAGCATAAGAGACTTCTTCTAAAAACAAAAAAAAAATCTTATCAAACCCAACTTTTGAATGGTAGTATATACTGTATATTTTTATTTTTTTTCTATTATTTTATTGTTTAATGAATATAGCATTTTAAATTGTATGCACTATGCAGTATGTGTGTGATCTTTTGGTATTCTGATCAAACAAAACATCAAAAATATTAGTTCATTATTTCTGGTTCATTCGTCATAATGAAAATTGGAAGATCAAGTCAAGCGCATTGCATTTTGGAATACAGTCTGCTCTGGTCCTGTAGCATTGAATGCATACAGAAAATCTCTGAACAGTAACAATAGTATGAGTAGTATGGTAATATGCCATTCTGAACATTTTTATTAATCTCAGACATAAATTGGTGTGTGTGTGTGTGTGTGTGTGTGTAGGCAGTTCTCTCTAGATCGTATCGTGAACATTGAGACGAAGCCTGATTATAATCGGGGCAGTAGATATCTCCTGGAACTGGACCTGCTGGAGGCTTCAGGACACCACTTGCGCCTGGTTCAGTACATCTTTGTGAAAAGAACTGAAGATTGGGGTTCTCATAAAAAACAAAAGGTTCAGGATGAAGAACTTAAGCTTTGCAATCCGTATAGCTTCTACTGGAACCCGACAGCTACTGTCCACTTCATCATCCCAGGTAAAACTCTCTCAAATAGAGAAGGATGAAGAACCAGATTTTCAGAATTTTATTCAAGATGCTTTCTTACTAAGAAAGATGGGTTGTTCTGGTCTATTACTGGCACAATCCAAAAACATTTATATTGGTAACCAGCAGTAAGATCATTTTAAATGGTCATTACACAAAAGTTGGATGGTTTAGCAGAAGTTACACCAGCATATTGAAACAGCTTTGATTTATATCTTTATGCATAATTGTCTATTTAAAAATCCTCTGCTACATTCTGTAAAAAATTTTTAGGGTTTATAAATTTGGTTTATAAATGTATATACTGTGTATGTATGTGTATATATATATATATATATATACTGTGTATATATGTGTGTGTGTGTGTGTATGTGTAATGTATACTATATATATATACATATACATATTATACATACATACATACACATATATATATATATATATATATACATACACACACACACACATACACAGTATATATATATATGGTTTCTAAAATATATATATATATATATACATACACACACACACACACATAGTATATATATATATATATATATATATATATGTATGTATAATATGTGTATTGTAAGATATCATAATGTTTTTGAAAGAAGTCTCTTGTGCTCACCCAGGCTGCATTTTTTTAATCAAAAATACAGTAAAAACAGTAATATTGTGAAATATTATTACAATTTAAAATACCTGTTTCCTATTTGAATATATTTTCAAATGCAATTTATTTCTGTGATACAAAGCTGAATTTTCAGCACTATTACAGTATCTTCAGTGTCACCTGACCCTTTAAAAATCATTCTAATATGCTGATTTGCTGCTCAAGAAACATTTAGAAAAATATGTCGTTCTGTTTAATATGTTTTCAGTATTACTTAATATACTTTTCAGATCTTCCTGACCTCAAACTTTTGAACAGTCGTGTATTTATTTGTTGTTGTATTATATATTTATATATGTTAAAAAACTTTCTGCAACATTTTTGGGAATGTTTATGGTTATTAAATATGAAACTTAAAAATAATGTTCTTAGAACATTGGTTTCTAAAAAATAACCAAACCAGAACCATACCATAATTTTGAGGGGATGCTCAGTGTTGGCTGGTTTATGTACATGTTTACTGTCAGCTGTATGAAATATCTTAACAAGACACTGTGTGTGTTTGTGTGTCTGCAGTGAAGAACCAGGCCCGTTGGGTACAGCAGTTTATTTCTGACATGGAGGAGTTATACCGCACCACTGGAGATCAGAACTTCAACGTCATCATTACTGACTATGAAAGCACTGATATCAACATAGAAAAAGCACTACAAAACTCTTATTTACCCAGGTACATTTACAGGTTTATAATTATACGCATACTAGAGTGAACCTCTGAACTTCATGAGTTTGATTCCTTGATCATTTGGCACATTGTCATTTCATGCTTCTGTAGCTATCATATTATAATTATATATATTTATTTTGCTTGGTTCTTCTAAAACAGTGTTAAAGGGGTAGTTCACCCAAAAATGGACATGTTTGGGTGAACTTACCCTCAAGTTGTTCCAAACCTGTATGAGTTTCTTTCTTCTGTTGAACACAAAAGATATTTTAAAGAATGTTGGTAACCAGACCGTTGATGGTTAGCCATTGACTTCCATAGTATTTTTTCCCTTCTATGAAACTCAATGGGGCCCATAAACTGTTTGATTACCAACATTCTTTAAAATATCTTCTTTTGTCTTCAACAGAGGAAAGAAACTCATACAGATTTAGAACAACTTGAGTAAATGATGACAGAATAAAACATTTTGAGTGAACTGTTCCTTTAAAGACACTGTTTGAATAATTCATGTACTTCAAACCTTGTAAAATGATACCTCATTTTGACTCCTTTTCTATTGTGTGTCCTCTATTTCAGGTATCAGTACCTCCGGCTGAGTGGAAACTTTGAGAGATCAGCAGGACTGCAAGCAGGAATTGACCTCATTACTGTAAGATTAACACACACAATCACTCACACGCACGCACCACACTTGCACAAAATATGCTTGAATTTCTAAAACTTGTGTTCAAAACATGCCATGAAAGCCTGGGGCCGTATTCATAAAGAATCCTAATGCAAAGAGTTGCTCCTAGTGACAAAATTCTAAGAAAATTCTTAGAAATGTGGGCGTTTACTCTTAAATCCTAGTAAAGGAAAAAGTAATTCAGAAAGTATCTTAACCCTTAAAAGAGGTCTTAAGGTCAAAATTGTTAGGAGTACGGACGAGGACTTTTAAGAGGCTTAAGAGTTTCTTTAGCAGAGGAGAAAATAGCAGAAAGACGAAGAGGGAGAAGAAATGTGTTGCAGACAATGGATGACAGTGAGTTAATAAGACCCTATATTGACACCCGGCCCGAATTTTCCTTTAAGGATGGCCTTGTGTTCATCCACTAACTGGGCTAACAGTAAACACTGTTCCCCTGTCCAGTCGGGCTTTCTCGGCCGTCTTGGTTTTGATTTCATGTTTGTTACATTAAAACCAACATTCAAACCACCACTTAAATAGACATGCCAGCAATCAGTGTAATTGGAAAGAGTGGAACAATTTTTATCATTCTAAGCCAATCAAATACCTTATAGGAAATTAACAGCATGGTAAATAAATAAAAAAAGGATTTATATACACATATATAATGTGTGTGTGTGTGTGTGTGTGAGAGAGAGAACGGTCAAATAGGAAAAATTACGCATGTAATTTCAAAGGGAAGGCTTAGAATAGACCCTATACTTAAAATCACTCTTTTTTTCCTTCTTGGACAACCAACCAATCACAGTCTTCAAAAGATTGTCTCATACATAGCAACGGGGTCAACCCCGCCTCCTCACTAAGATGAAAGTTTTTGTCTTTTCCTTACTCAGAGTTGCTCTCAGATCGGTTCCGAATCGCTCTTAAAGGTGCTATATGTAACTTTTCTTCTAAAATGAATCCTTTTTGTATTGCCTGCATGAAGGGGTTGTAATCACACATTACAATGATCCACTTGTCGGGTTTTGCTATTACCTCTGAAGGCCAGTATTCCTATTTCTATGTGAAGTCTCCGGGTCGGATTTTCTGCGAAAGCCACCGGATGTGACGTGCATGCGCGCTCCCGAGCCTCTCTCCTTTCAGCCTGTGCTCACGTAAATCCGTCTCTATAGCACGCATTGTGTATTATCGTCCAATTTATACGCAAAATTGAGTTTTTACGTGCATATGATACGCAGTTTTCGCGTGCATTTGATATGCAGTTCATTTGCGTGTAATACACACGCACCCCACACGACTATCAAACCTACCCTAACCAACCCATGCGTATCCTATGCATCCTAAAACTCATTTTCGCGTATATATTCCACGATAAACACACTGCGTGCTATAGAGACGCATTTAGTGTGATCGGGTTGCTCCTTTTTATATACAGTTTATGCGACGGCACTGCAGCTGACGACATGGAGTCTGATAACACTAAAAAACGACCTGCCTCCAGCACAACACACACTCCAACACAAACTCCACATAAATATAAAAAACAAAACAAAAATGTATCTGCTGAAGCTCGTCAGGCCAAACGTGAATCGGATCGACTTAGGATGAAAGCACGGATCAACATCGGCTGAGCGTTTGAATTATGGAGAGACCTCCGCTATTTTTATTGTGATAAATTACAGGTTTTCAGATATGCTGAAATAAATAATGGTAAACTGTAATGAAATAGCAAGGTAAACTACAACATACATGAGACATGAAATGAATACAAAAGACTGTTCCAGGATAACAAAAAGTAGGTGCTTTAGGATTTAACTTTTATTTTATGCAGCCTATCTACTAACGTCACTCATCCCACTACTATCATATTGTTTATAATACACATTTCCAGACACGTTCAGTACATGTTACTTCCTACGATCTTACTGTACATTGCTGCCTGATTGTGAAAGATACACGAATAGTTAGTGAAATGCCTTATGCTGGATAACACCACATGTCGGCTAAATGCAGTCAATGTAACGTTATCATGGTACGAGCATGGAGCATTAGTTCAACGTCAAGCTGATAAAAGTAGCCTATTATTGTAACGTTGCAGTGGGAGTTTACATGAGTTTCCAGCATGTTGTGTGATGCTTTCTCCGGTGTGTTGAAAGTCTCAGTGTGGCCGGTACCTGAGCGCTCGCTCTTGTGTTCGAGCACGCGCGCTCTTGTAAAAATTGGTTGCAATCTGAAACATCACCGATAGAGGCCGCTAAAAAATACATATAGCACCTTTAAGCTAAGACTCCTACGTAAAAGGTTTTAAGCTAAATTAAGAGTTTTCTGAGAGGACTCTTAGAATCTTTATGAATACGGGCCCTGATCTTCGTTAATGCAAGCTGATTGATGTCACTCAATTAAGGTCTGTCTGTCTCTCTGTCAGGACGATCACAGCATTGTGTTTCTTTGTGATCTGCACATCCATTTTCCTCCTGGCTTCATCGACACTGTGAGAAAACACTGTGTGGAGAGACGCATGGCCTTTGCTCCCATAGTCATGAGACTGAACTGTGGCGCTACACCTCTGGAGCCTGATGGTACAGTCTGTTACCTAATAACACTGTCAAATACATCCGAGAGAATTACATTCGCTCTGTACATCAATAGATTAGATACAATACCTTTCAAAAGTGTGTGGTCTTTAAGACTAATATATTTGAAGAAGTCAACAAGGCTGCATTTATGTGGTCAAAAATACATTAAAAACAGGAATATTGTAAAGTATTATTACAATACACAATAACTGTTTTCTATTTTAGTGTTTTATTTATTCCTGTGATGTAAAGCTGAATTTCTAGCATCATTACTTTAGTCTTCAGTGTCACATGATCTTTCAGAAATCATTCTAATATGCTGATTTGCTGCTCAAGAAACATTTATTATTAATGTTGAAAACATTTGTGCTGCTTAATAGTTTTGTAGTAACTTATTGAAAGATGAATAGAAAGTTCAAAAGAAAAGCATTTATTTGAATATTTTGTAACATTTATGTCATTACTGTCACTTTTGATCGATTGAATGAGTCCTTGCTCAATGAAAGTTTTTTGAACAGTAATGTAGATGTTTAAATTCACAGCAGAACCGCTGAATATCAGATTCACAGTGTGTGTTTAATGTGCAGGTTACTGGGAGGTCAATGGCTTTGGCCTTCTGGGAATTTATAAATCAGACCTGGACTCTATTGGGGGCATGAACACCAGAGAATTCACTGACCGCTGGGGCGGAGAGGACTGGGAACTACTGGACAGGTCAGTCGTGAGACGATACGCTAATAAAAACCATAACCACAGCTTTTTAGCTTATCTCAAAGTCAGTATCCATTTTTCATACTGTGCATTATGATGTTGGGATTTCATTTAAAGTGATTGATTTTAGTTTTTGCCTTTTATTTATATAAAAATACAACTTAATATATATATATTATATATATTTTTATTGTATAAAATTTGACTAAAATAGTATAGAACTAAAAATGTATTTATTTTTATTTTTTATGCACATTTTTATTTCCTTTCAAAGATCTTTGAATTACCATCATGTATGGAATGTGCTATGTACATAAACTTGCCTTGCCTTTCCTATAATATTAATATTGGCTATTTATTGTTACCTATAACATGAAAATAATTCAGCTTATCTTGTAAGACAGAAATGTAATATCAGTGCATCCTTAATGTCAAACAGAAATGATTTGGTGTGTGAAGTGCCTTGTGTTATCTGTGGTCTGTAGGATCCTTCAGGGTGGGCTTGAGGTGGAGCGTCTGTACCTCAGGAACTTCTTCCATCACTTTCATTCAAAGCGTGGAATGTGGAATCGCCAGATGCTGCGCAACACGTAACCGAGTCAACAGTCTCGCCGCTGCTGAGCAACGGTTACCACGGCACTTTAAACGTTTGGTGAACCTCAGGACATTCCAGATGTGCGTTCCAGATCGCATCTGATCGAAGGTGATTTTGAGGTGAAAATTAGTGGAAACAAACAGAGACTCAGGAAAAGGTGATGTTTTGTTTGAAGATGAGTTATGCAACATCTCCAGCTGCTATGGGATCATTTCCAGAGTAGAAATGTTTCTCTAATGCCAACTACACTGTCAAGGAAAAAAACTGTAAACTGAGCTAAAGGAACATTTTGAGGTCACTGAAGGTTTCAGCATCACTTCCAGGTCAATAATATGCCTTGAGTTGCGTCTGGCTAAGTATTCTGTTCTCACAGACAGAATTGTGACGTACAATGAGATGCATATACTGAGAAAATGTGTATTTATTCAGGTAGATGAGTGTCTTGGGTGAGGGGTTTGTCTTTGCACACTGTTATTATGTGTTTTATGCTGTGTGACCTTTTAGAGACTGAAAGAATCTGTGGACAAAGCTAAAGAGATGTGCAATATTCCCAGAGGCACAGAGCGTGTTTTTGAATAGTGAATTAATTCAGGTTAGAAATGCTGATCCGTTTTCAGGTCAATCGCATAAAGCTTGTCAAGAACACGTCTGCGCCATATTTCGTCCCCAAAATACAAAAGGAAGAAATAAGAAATTTTGTTTAAAGAATTATTTTCCCTGTAATTTTCATGAAAATTAGGCACATTTTACCTCCAAATTCTCATTACTGTAATGTAGAAAAATAAAGACAAGTCTGTATACATCATGGTGCCTTAAATGTAAGCTGATTTAAATGTAACAAAAAAAAAACATATTTTGTTACTGTAATGCAGTACAGGAAAACTAAAAGTTTAAAACATTAATTCTATTAATGCGAAATTTAAGTACAGATGTGCTCAATTGTCATTAAACATACTGTCACAGTACCTTAATTGAAGGCTTCATTTTCTTTATGCAAAATGTCATGAAATGAAATGGCCTTGTTTTTGTGATATTTGCCATTTTATAGTGTAATTCAAGGTGTTTCGATGATGAAAATGCCATTTTTTTTGTACAAAAGAAAGGGATTTTCCTGAGTTCCATGCAAGTTCTTCTTTGTTCATGACACATTCCAGCCATTAAACCCGGCTCATGTTGATTCAGACTGATTCAACCATGTGCAGTATTACTTGAAACAAATTAGATCCTAATAATATTCATCAAACAAACAAATTCATATAAAGACAGTGAGGTTTTTTTTTTTTTTTTTTTTTTTTTTTTTTTACTTTATGGGTTATCATTTGGTTTATGTATTCTGATGAATTACTGCCCAGTGAAAGCTGATGTTAGCCATGCTCACTTATACTGTAAGTGCTGTGTTTAATTTCAGATGGAAATATCTACTGTGGTGATTTGGTGCTGTTTTTCCAGAGATTCTTTTTAATGGTTATACATGCTCTAAATGTTACTGCCTTACCGTTGTTGTTTTTTTGGTGGGCTTTTTTTGTAAAAACAACAAAAAAAGATGTAATGCATTGTAGATCTGACAGTCAATAGTGTCAGTGTTTTTTATTTTTTCCATATATTTTTTATATGAAGGATCTTCTTGTAGGAGGCAAAGTTAAAATGTCTTGTTTATGCAGATCACCAACAACCTTAAAATAAAATCTCTCTTTTGGTTTTATGTTTTGTTGAGGTGTGTATTTACGACCAACCTTATCAATTGTTCGGTCAAAAGTGGAGTTATGTTTGTGATTTACAGTGAAATGATGAAGAACCTTCTACACAGTTTCTCTGATGCTAGACGTTCACACAGTTTGTGGCTTAGCTTTTATTAAAAATGTAAAGGGGTATTTGGATTGGAATGACATGAAGGTGAGTGAATAAAGACAAAATATTCATTTTTAGGTGGTGTCTTTTTACCATTTCAGATGAAAAATATGGGACGAGGCTATTGAGGTTTGGTGAATGAAAATCAAACATGAAAATAAGCTAGCAAAACATTTAGATCATACAGCTACATAGCCCCTAAAGGGACATGGTGATATGAGACGGGAGATGAGGAAAAATTCTGTCAACGCTTTTGGGAACGTAAAGTTTCTCAGTGTGGCACGTTTTGCCAGCAAATGCAAAGTTTCTCGGGGAATGCAAAACTTATACGAGAGAATTCAAAAGAATTAAAATAGTTTTAGTTCTCTTTTTTTCCTTCCTGGTTTTGCTGCTAGTCCATGATTGAAGTGCCACCATCTCCTCAAAATGCAGGATGTGTTGATTCAACATTCAGAATTGATTTGTTGAACCACATTGAGGTGACTTAGATCTACTCAGAAGCGGTGTATAGATTCTTAAAGATCTGACTTGGGTTTCTTCTCACCAGTAGCTTTCCATGAAAACAAAATTACACAAGCTCGACCTTTGCTTCTCCAACATCTTCAACCTGGCAAAGAACCTCTATGAATTATGCTTTCTAAAAATCATATGAAGTCCACAAGCTTCTGCAATTTAACAAATCTCACTTTACTCTTCTCAAAAACCTTTAGGTGTTTGGAGTTCACTGGAAACCAGTCTGATCTCTTTCCCAGCTTTTAGATCTGTTGAAGCTGATGTGCAAGATGACTGTCTGACTCCGACTGTTTCCATACAATCTTGAAGATTTGAAAACAGTGAAGATGAAGAGAAAAATAGAATCGTCTTCCCTGAAGACATTGAGGAATTCATGAGACTGAAAGATCTCACCGTTTTCAGCAGATTCCAAACCTGGAAGATGTCAACATTAGTTTTCGGTTGGATCTGTGACATTTCGCAAATATGCTTTTTGCCAAGGTGACATTTTTGACAACATCATTGGATTAACAACATCATAGAGAGAGAGGAGCTAAAACAAGAGCTAAACTACATCTGAATTGGCGAGTCTATAATAGGCTCTTCTGGGCCAGTTTAAAAACGTGGCACAGCAGACGAAGCTTCGCCAGGCGGTGAGTTTTATTTGGTATACGGTCAACATCAGCATTGTGTATCACCTGTTTATGGCCTTTAATCAAATATATTCCTTATTTTACTGTCTGACTGTAACATATTGTAGGCTAATTCATTATGGCTAAAATAAACTTCCTGATTTTTTTTCTTCTGTCCAACACATATGTTAGTTTCATCATTCTTCTGTTACGTAACCCCTGTCTGTTGTGCCAAACTCCAAAAATAGCTGCTTGCAACTAAATGTGCATCATTGTTGTAATAAATAACTAGACCAAGACCTCAAAGAACATTTCTCAGTAGGCTACCGCAGTAAAATTCTCAGCATATGCTACTCCAAATGTAAATGATTTGTTTAAAGTGGAAGCAGGTATGTTTGTTTTGGAAAAAAGAAAAAAATAACACGCTGTTTTTCATGCTTGAACTGCAGTAAAGCTCCATCAGTACAATTTCCACTTACTGGGCACTTCCTAAAGGTGGAAAAATGCTGTGTCATGGAAAAAATGGTCACTTGGATAAACATTCGGCATTGGATTTGACAAGTCTTGTACAGAAGTTATACATTTTGTTAGTTTTAAAAGTAAAACTCACCACTTAAAATGAAACACTGCAGTAGAAATTAAATCACCATGACAATTCTTTTTTTTTTATGGAATATTGCATTATTTATAATAAATGATTTATATTATTTATAATAAATGCCCTCATAACCTTTAATCAAAAGAACGTCCCATTCCCTCTTGCAAACATCTCTTCTCTGACTGTGCGTTCACACCGGACGCGAATAGCGCGTCAAATTCGCGTCTACCGCGTCTAGTTTGACGCTTGACCACTTTGTGTTAATTCGCGTGTCAATGGCGAAATTGACGCGCGTAAAAACAAAAGTTTGAAGCGAAATTTACGCGCGTCAGAGGCGAAATCCGGAGGCGAAAGTTTCGAAACCCGTTGGCGGCCATCTTTTTAGATGTTTATCGAGCATTAGCATTAGCATTATTCGAGAGAGTCACGGCTCGTATATGATGATGCGTTTACTGGCGTGACGAGTAGCCTCTCGCTGCAGCCTGCGGTGGACATCCAACCCGGCCCACATCCAAGTGTGACGTCAGAAGCCACGCCCATGCCCAAATTGGACACATTCTCATTAACATTTAAAAACAGGAAGAAGCATCGAGAAGAGAAGACTAGAAGACGAAGGTAACTGCGAAACAAAATGCACAAAACACACTTGCGGTTTTAGTATAAACACTGTTCAACATAATACGAATGAGTTGTATAAGAATGAGATGTTACCTGTTGAAAGCAGCTCTTATCACTTTATTAATAGTTTGTAATGAGGTCAGTGCGGTTGATCACTTGACTAGCATTGTCAAAATATCGATGTAATTCAAATCAATAAGGTTTGATGATGTTGTTTTAGAGCTATGAATTATCTTCAACTTACATATTTGGTCATTTAACTCCCCTGTAATGTCTCAACTGAGTTGTGTGTTAGATTTGGCTGAGTGAATTTCGTAACAGTAACTACGTTAGATTCTCAACTGAGAATTTTGTTTTGTATACTATTACTATTATACTATACTAACTGCATTATTATATCACCAATTTCATGTTGTTATTTGGATTAAGGGTAAATATGAAAAAAATATTATTTCAGTGCTTATGTGTGACGTTACATCCTGTAAATCTTATTCTGCTTGTAAAGAATATGAGATTTGATTGTCACTTTGTCAGTTGTAAATACTCCATATTGAAAAAGTTTGAAGTTGTTCAGTCATTGCTATGCAAACATGTTTAGATAATGTAATGTGATGATAAACTGTTGTAATATGAATAAGTTTTATTATTGATTCATAGTAAATACAGTGACAGCAAGCCAGCCATCACATCAGCAGTCTTTCCTAACTATATTATACTTCTTTTCAGGAGTACTACAATTTTGAAAGCAAGTGATTGTTTGCCATGTCGGTAAGTACAAATAAACTTTGGTTTGTATCCTAATCAAGTTAGCGTACTGTTAACTGTCGGGCCAAAGGTTTGTCTGAATTGGAATTAACAACTTAACGATAGCTAGGTTAAAACGTTTTGGTCTGATCACTTATCCCTTACAACCCTTGCAAAGTAACTTGGTTGAGCAACCGAATCATTTCACTACATCTTACTTGATAACTCTGTGTATGTGCCAAATTATCTATCTATTCTAGATTAATGGAAAGATCACATAATTATTGTCATTGTCATGTTTTACAGCATCCTACACATTTTCAGTTCAAGCCTGATGCAGATCAATTCTGCCTGGATGGCTGGTTCGAATGTCCCTGCTGCAGTTTTATGACTAAAGAGAAATTCTCATTTTCTATTCATCCATTGCAGCTCAGAGTAGATTATTAATTATTTTTGCACAATGCCCAGTGCACCCTTTTGTTACTGATATTTCTGTTAACACAACAGTGACTGTTCTCTGAAAACTATTTCAGTGAAGTGGAAGATTTTAACCGACAAATTGACAAACAATTGAGGAAAGAAGGGAGACCATTCAATTGATGGGTGTTGCTCTTACATTTACACATTTGGAGTTTGGAATTAGACGTCAGTAACATGAATATTCTATTTGACTTTCTCTCTCTACAACTCCAACATTTCATAAGTGTTAAATCAGAAATAGACATTTGTTTAACATGTTCAACTGAA